ATCATTGAATGATAGTGACAATGATATTTCAATATTATCAAGGTTATAACCCTTGATGCTGATTGTTTTATATATTATTTGAATTTATATTGCACACTAATATTGCAGAAAACCATAGGGTTATATAGCCAAGACCAAGATTAGATGTTACAGAAGTTAGCTGTAACTGGATTAACCCTTATAGAGACTAAATTGAACAAATTCTCAATCTATTCTTTGGTTACGTGTTAGAATATGGAAATGTATTCACTTCAACAACAAAAACCGTTGTAAATAAAATGAAGTCAAAATTTTTCCTTCATTCCTTAGTTACTTGCATTCCAGTAAAGTTTAGAGAACACCGTGATCGGATGAACACATAACGATCAATTCCTTTATAATAAAATTTTGAGGATGTCTACGAGTTTTTCTTATAGATAACCTCCAAGTTCAAAATTGCGATTATACAAACAACGAAGAGGGAACAATAATATAGAATTATGTATTTAGGGTCCACTTTCCTAAATCTCCCAAATCTCAAATTCTTAATCTGTAACAAATCTTACCAATACAGAAAACTATCCAAGAAGAATTGGAATGTTGTAAAGAAAGCGATAGATTTAGATAAAACGAAAACGACAATAAACTTTTTCGAAATATAAACCTTCAGGCAATTATTCATTAATGCATCACTTAAAGGCTTTACATATTCTCAGGGGAAATAAGCACTGGTATATTTGTCCAAAGTATGGGTGTTAATTGTCCCTTTCATCCTCAAACATGGTAAAGCCAGATAGAAGCAAAGAAAGCTTCTGAGGCCAATAAATCTTACGTCTTTCGTACTTAAGACTTTAGAAAGCTGCTAGTAAACCAACCTATACACCAACCCAGTTTGCCTTTGAGTCGAATATAGACTGACAAAGTAAGCAGCTCTTTACTGACAATATGCACTGAAATACAAAGAGGTTGTTTTAGGTGTCTTTCTGGACAAACTTCGGTAAGATTAGTCATGGGTGCATTGAAATAAAAGAGAATGGACAGGATTTATTGTAAGTGGACAGACTGTCCGTTAAGGGGAAAATTGGCCACAGAGAGACTACTAAGTAAATTGAACAGGGAGGGGTATAAAACTCTGTGATCTGCAGACGATTTAGCCATTCTTGCTCAAAGTAAATTCAATAATATAGCAAGGGGCAAATATAGGAAGCCTTGAATATTGTCACAAGATAAACAGATAAGGAGGACCGTCAGTGCCTCCAAATCAGTCATAGTAGCATTTGCCAGAACAAGAAAGTTAGAGGTATTGCGACCGCTAGAAGATTGGTAAACAACTATAGCTGTCGGGTGAAATATAATATTTCGGAGTCATCTTAGATTCAAGAGCTGCTTAGAATCTGTAGCTAAAGAGAATATTAACCAAACGGACTTAAGGCAAAATACGGGGATCAAACAAAAAATGCCACACATTAGACTCATGGTAAGATGTGTGTCTTTGGTATAGTGGATTAAGATGCAATATTTTGTGTGTTCTTTTATAATGAAAATACAAGGAAAATAGAAGATAGCGAAAAATGTGAATATATTTGAAGAAGTAGAAACTTTAAGAGTGGCATTTTGCAACTACTCTTACGTGAACAAAATTACTTAAAAAACACTTAAAAATTATGTTTATGGGGTATTTTCATTTTACGAGTATAATTAAGTGTGCTAGTAGTTTTTTAAGGTAAAGGGTAAAAAGTAATTCTTGTTGCACGGATGGCTTGGTGAAGTGAAGTGAGCTTTTAAAAACCGCATAAGTATAATAAAGAGAGAGTATTGTAGAACTATATTGAGTTCTTGTAAATATCATTTTGATATCTAATGTTATTCGAGAGTCGTGACTGAACCGACACATTATACTTTGATAACGGTGAAGGTTTTACTGACAGATCAAAAAGACACAAATGTCAAGCCATTTTTAAGTTAATCAATATGACGGAAGAATACTGTACCAAGAAATCAAAAATATTTTGCAAAGATTTGTGAATGAAGCACCTAATAGTACATATTCAATGATGAAGATCAATTTATTTTAATTATTACTTTCAATGGAGTGACTAACAGTAAATATTTTCTGGTAGCAGGTATTACCGATGCTTGTAGAAGAGGCTAGTAATATTTGGAGATATGTTGATAATGGAAATTTCAAAGAAATACTGGGAAAATAAGACTCAAATTGTGAATTTTCAGAAAATAATCTTAGGTCCTCAGCAATAACCAATGATCGATTGGAAAAATACCAAACAAAATTGCTAGGTATTTTTGGTCGTCCATTCCACAGGACTGTACTGGTCATGGTTTTAAATAGTCATCTTCAACCATGCTTGCAGATGCAGAAAAAGATCAAACAAGATCATTGTTGCTACTGATATATTATGTTAGACTTAGTAATGTAATAAAAGCGTGCAATAAAAATTTTCACTGCATCGGCATTATTCTGGCTGTTTCGAAATGATCTGTCTTTTTTTATACAAATATAGGAATTAAAACATTTCTCACTTGGAAGATTTTCACCTGTTTTTTTCTCGGCTTTCCTTAGATTAGCACGAAAAGTCCTTTCGAACTTTTTTAAATGTGGATTTTTGCTGAAATTGCAGTATGTTATAGTTTCTGACTTTCTGATCAAAAGTTGTCATGGGCCTAAAATAATCCTGTAAATAGATTCAGAGATAAAGAGGGGTGAAGCATGTGATTTTGGCTGTAGGCCTGAGTGAGCTTCACGAAGTTGGCTGTAGGCCTGAGTGAGCTTCACGAAGTTTCAAGTTGATGGATTAAAAAACTGAGGCATGTAATGAATTTTGACCAGTAGGCACAATGCTTTTGGGACCGTTGAACCTGAATTCGGGGATAGCTTAGCTACCTAAGGTCACCTGGAGGTCAGGTAAAGGTCGTTTCAAGAATAGACTTGTTTTGAATTTTAACCAGTGAGTGCATAGGTTTTTGGGCTCGCAGAATCTGAATCTGGAGATAGCGTAGTCTTCAAGTCAATTCAAGGTCATTTCAAGATCAAACTAAAGAAAAGGCTTGTATTGAATTTCAACCAGTGCGTATATAAGTTTTTTAGGAGGGGGGGGGAGGAACTGAATTCGGGGATAGCTTAGACCTACAAGGTCACATTTCGGTCAAGTCAAGATCATTTCAAGGTCAAAGTAAAGAAAAGGTTTTTCACGAATGTGAACCTGTAAGTATGCATGCTTTTGAGATCGCTGAACCTGAATTCGGGGATAGCTTACTCAGTCCTACAGCAAAAATCACATACTTCTCCCCTTTTTATCTCTGAAACTATTCATAGGATCACTTTGGGCGCATGACAATTTTTGATCAGAACTATAACATACTGCAATTTCAGCAAAATCGACTGGGACCCATTTTCCATTGATTTTGTTCGGGCTTCTTTGTCTGTGTATACAGGGTTTTCTGAACTAAATGCGTTCTTTGAAAAGGGTGATACAGGGACGAAACCAGAAACGCCACACCACACATTCACTAAAAACCGTTGGAACTGAGATATCTGTACAACGTGAGAATTTGCATCACACCAATACAGAATGTTGTGAAAATTTAGTATGCCGTTTCTAGTAAAACAACATTCTTGCAAGCACCTTGCTTGTAAAATTCGGATCTTGTGCTATTTGATATCGAAACCACTGGCCAAATTTCACACTTGACTGAAAATTATTATTATTTAAAGCCTGAAGCCTTTGTAGGAGTGTAATTTGTTGTTGTTGTTGTTCCCGTAGTACACGCCATACGGTACTTCCCACTTCTCGGCCAATGTAGCGAGTACTGCGCCTCGGATCTTCCTCAACGGCGTTTATGATGTTTTCTTCGTTGTCGAAAACACGTTGCGGCCTCCATATGTCAGGTGGACATTCCCGCTATCACTGCTTTCTGCACTGTTCTACTGTTAGGTTGTCATCTGTTACGGTAACAGATCGCATACAAACGACAAGTTTCATTTAAATTGTATTGATATTTTCCGTACATTAACATTTTATACGCCGGCTAAGTAAAACTCCAGTACACAACGCACGTGCACAAGATGCACATGATCGACTTGTGGTGAATTTTCTCGAAAACAGAAGCATTTAGACTATCAGTTTCTTAATAAACGTTGCTAATTTTCGTGCCCTCTATCATCCTTTTCAAGGAACGCACTTATTTCAGAAACACCCTGTATATGCATATGTATCTGTTTTTTTTTACATTAAGGAAGATACCTGAAAACCTCAAATTATGTAATGCCTGAAATTAATCATGCAAGAATTATTTTCCTTCAAAACGGAAAGAAGAAACGTTTGCCCACGGGCAAAAGACTCACGAATGACAACTGGTAATTATAATATGATTTAATTGGCTACTCCGCCGAGCCGTACCAAAAATAAGTTTAAAAACGTGTGATCACGCAGACCGGCCAAAAATGCATTAAATTGTTGGTAAAACATGGGCCCCATTATCCGACCCGGGGCGAGTGAAGGGCGCTGAGAACGTGCCGGTATTCTTCGTATTTTTATAGGCATTCCCAAAACACTTGCCATAGTATCACGACCTACCTTACCGACAAACCCAGGCGATAGGGAGGACTGATGTCGATTGTAACAAAAATTACATTAATCATATTGGAGCCCAAAATGTTTTTGTTTTCTTAAATACTTTATTGGGCATACTTACCTAAGCTAAATCTAACATTGAAATAGCTAAATAAAAATAAAAAACTTTATCCTACAAGAAGAAGAACAAATGATGATAGTAACACGTCAAAGTGCAGTTGTATTTTATTTTAAAATAATAGGCATGTTTATTAAATAAACAGCAATATTGTAAACAAATATTCAAAAGTCGTACAAATTTAATATTTTTATATAAGTTATTATATAAAAAATTATTTCACTTTGAAAATAAGTTGGCGGTTAGTTGGTTTCAAACCGGATGTAGTATGTGGAGAAGTTGGGAATCGCCTATGGAATGGGGTCGTTAGGAAGATGCCTCTTCTGCAGGCAGACACTGACAGTATGCCTCCAGTTTGCGTTCACAGAACCTACACAGTACCCATCTGGAGACAGGAGGAGACCGCCAGCGAGAATGTAATTAACGTCTTCACAGATGGATAAAAAATGAAGGAAGGTGCAGGATTAGGAATTTATTCTACATCTTTGCATATCCGATATCAGTAGGCAATGGATAGGCATGCTACCTACCATGGTACAAATGGAACTAGGGACACTACTGGTAAAACAATCAGAATCTACATAGACAGCAGACAAGCATTACTGATCTTGGAGATACAAACTTAAGACGTTTTAGAGCTTTAAAAAAATAGTGGTAACGTCATAATGATTAGGTCAGTATTGGAATGCCATCATTCGTGGCATCAGTTTCCAATAGAATGGACACAAGCGGAGCGGTGCAATGGCAACAAAGAACCTAACAAGCTAGCCAGGAGTGCATCGGGTTTCAATATTTTTGGACCCGCTCCCTCTAGTGCGTTTCTGCTGTCAGTACTTGCTGAAATTATTAAAGAAAACACCAACAAAGAGTTTATGAAACAAACAGCTGACAATTTGCTAAGGAGTTCCTAGAATACCCTAGCAAGGATACAGTTAAATCTTCGCCTGGTGACAGGTATTCAAACTGGACACTGTTGGTTAAGGAAACAACTTCACTACATGAGGTAGTGTGAAAAACCTCTTTGTAGCGGTTGTGTACAGGAAGACGAGACTACATGTGCTCTGTGAATGCACTACCGTATCGACAATAAGAGAATCCGTGTTGGGAGAACGTTGGACTTCTATGGCCTATATTAGAGAGATCTTCCTGAGCAACGTCACCACCTTTTTTCTTTAATAGAGTGGTTAGGGGCTCAGATGGATTGATTTCCTAATGGGAGGAAATACAACGGGTCCAATGCGATCTAAGCATTGTAGACTGTAAGCTACCCACTCCACAATTCCAGATTCCAGTAGTTCGCAGTTAGTGCAATAAGATAACTACAGGGTGTTCGGTAAGTTTCTACTAATCTTTAAGGAAAGTATAAGGAAGGCCAAAACAACACTAGGACTTATTATATTCTTTTCCTAATATTCCTTCTAATGGATATATCGATAGAAATGGATACCTACACTTAATTAGTAATTAATATTTACTGATCTGATATACTAAGTAACTGTTGACAAACTAAGAAATTGTTTTTTTGGGATAGTCTCTATCTTGTTATATTAAACTAACGACACAAAACTGATAAAGAAGTACTGACCTTACTTAACAAAAAGTGCGAACTATTAAGAAAAGCTGAAGTCGAGAAGGAATGACAAGTCGCATTCTTATGACATGTCACAATAAAAGTTCCTTGTTACCACCATTGACTCGCGTACTCTTGCAGCACATGATTCACGTACATTAGTCCTGCAGTTGTAACATTTTGCATGCATTCACCGTGGATAGCGCGTCTGCCAATTTATAGTTGTTGAAATAATGCGTCATTGTAGTAAAACACTGATTTGTACAATTATATCCATAAATACACTAATATCGAGGCTTTTACTTATGCAAGCATGACAGTTACGACAAACTAATTTGAATGCAAGCAGTCAGGGTGCCGTCGATAAAAACAACCCACAAAACATTCAGACCATTAATCAGTGTTGTTCTTTCTTTCACCTTCATTGTTTACTTTACATTTTCTGCACTAAACTATTTCTTTTGTAATGTCTTCATCTATGGCCAAGTACAACTTAGTGCGGGTAAAAAAAGAAGTACCTAGTATTGCGTGGTACTAATAAAAGAACAACAAAAGGTATTCAGTTATTTTCAGTTAATGTGTTAATCTTCCTTGCATAGATTTAAGTTATTACGTTCTAAGATCAATTTAGATCTTGATGTTGCGCATAAAAAGTATGTGAGTAATTACCATTTTTGGTCTTTCATAACTTACACAATACATTGTCAATTTCTGATTCAATGATGTACCACGACGATATGCTTAATGATCCCCAAAGCATGGTTTGCCTATTCTTTGCATCAGCCTATTTTTCTGCATCTTCATTAATGTAGAGGTTTTGAACCTAGTTATGATAGTCCTGTTTAGATTTGAGTATAAATTAATAACAGAACCTGACGGAATTCCATTTTTTTTTAAGGAATTGTACAATATTTTCTTTTGGCACTTCGCTTTACAACTATTTTAAATTAGACAATTCAAACCCCAACTTTTTCTTATATTTGGACTAAAGCCAAGAAAATTTATTTGAAAATTATGGGTTTATTATAATTTTGTTATTATACATAATATTTTATATTTTCATGCTAAATCTCAAATTTCAATTTGTCCGCACACGTTTAAGGTTCTCCCATGGTACTATTTCCTTTAAATATTCTCTAGATAGGCATCCCCATTTGGAAATTATCAAATTTTGGTAAGACAATAATTTTTTTTTGAATTTTCTATATCATTGAAAGTATATATAGTGGTTTTACATCGACCACTTCTGGATACCTCAGGGTTCAGTTCTTGGTCCGCTATAATTAAATATTAATGGTATTTTGTACCCAGATAACTTCAAACAGTTTACCTCTGTTGCATCCATTGAAGACTGTGTTGTGCTACAAAAAGATTTAGTGATTGGTGTCAAAATAATATACAAGGACAGTTAAGGATAGGATAGTAGTATTTTATTTTGCAAAACTATTGTTTTTCATATTAACTATATTATCTTGTATAATGTATAATGGCAAACTTTGTTCCATTATAATAAATGCTCACCATCTTAAAAGAAATTCCGATAATATTTTTATTGTATAATGGGTTTGTTAGATTCAACTTAAATATGCATATATCATTTAGAACCCAATATATGTTACTCACTTACTCACATTTGGATAAAAGTTCAGATGAAACTCTTTCAATATTTCTCCTTTAGACTTGATAATACTTATCTTATTAGATATACTACATATTCTGATTTTATATAAATTTACTATGTTTAACGTACTTTTTTTCTTATAAAAATTGTTAAATAATAACATGGATTGTCTTGATATACTTTGCACACTCAATATTCCAACTTATGTGAAATATGTAAATACGGCACTTCTTGTCTAATCGCATCTTCATGAAATTATAAATTTTAGGAGAGCTTTTCGTTTCAGGTCACATACTATTTAAATTGACACCGGTCTCCCCTAAAAGCGGACCTGTGATCGCCCCTCACGAAATCTAGTCAATATATCGATTTATCCAACTAATAATCAACATATCGCCCAATGTTTCAGATAAAATGGGCCGTATAGCCGCACCCGGTCGACGAAATCGTGAGCTCGAAGGTTATAATTAAAACGTAGCCCGAGATATATTACTCAACTGTCTCTTAACAATTATAGTTAATAAATTTTTATATTCTAAGGATTTGGAATTGGTTATAATTACTGTTTATTTCTTCCAATAATAGGCACCTTAGATTAATACAAATTGAGGAAAAAACAGTTATTAATCATGTTTACGAAAATCAATTCGATAATTTTAATTTGGAATTTAGAAACATTAGAAAGAGTACCTATATAATTTTATATAATTTTAAATTTAAGTAATCTACACATAATTGGTGTTTATTACGGTAATAAGTAATTTCGTTAATAACTATTTAGAAGTAAAATATAGGTAATTTTTTCAGTTTTGCTGTAATTAAAAAGTAATTGCAACCTTTAGAAATATATTAAGTTAATACAAGTCATTGATTATACAGAAACGAAGAACGTCGACTTGTTTCAAAACAAGTTACAAAATAATTTTTCTTTAGTTAAGAGGTAGTGATGGTGGTGGTACTGCTGCTGACGATCGTGAGGATGATGATGTGAATGAGGTGACGATGACGATAATGACGACGATGACGATGACGATGAAGGTGGCGATGACGATAAGAATGACGATGACGATTACGATGATCATTAGGATGAGAATGACGACGAGAACGGTTATGATACCTAGCACGATGACGATGATGATGAGGAAGACGACGAGGATGAAGATCAGGAACAGTATGACAATGATGCGAATGACTATAACTATACTCGTAAGGATGAGATGACAGCGATAGCGAGGACGAGGACAATAACGAGGAATATGACGATAACGATGGTGATGAGAATGACGGTGAATGATGACGATGATGAGGGCGATGACGAAGACGACAACAACAACAACAACGACAACAACAACAATGACGACACTAACAACGACAATGACGACGTAAACGACGACAAGGATGATGATGATGACGATGGCGATGACAATATATTGTGCGATACTCAACCACACAATATAAGTTACNTTATCCAACTAATAATCAACATATCGCCCAATGTTTCAGATAAAATGGGCCGTATAGCCGCACCCGGTCGACGAAATCGTGAGCTCAAAGGTTATAATTAAAACGTAGCCCGAGATATATTACTCAACTGTCTCTTAACAATTATAGTTAATAAATTTTTATATTCTAAGGATTTGGAATTGGTTATAATTACTGTTTATTTCTTTCAATAATAGGCATCTTAGATGAATACAAATTGAGGCAAAAACAGTTATTAATCATGTTTACGAAAATCAATTCGATAATTTTAATTTGGAATTTAGAAACATTAGAAAGAGTACCTATATAATTTTATATAATTTTAAATTTAAGTAATCTACACATAATTGGTGTTTATTACGATAACACGTAATTTCGTTAATAACTGTTTAGAAGTAAAAGATTAGTAATTTTTTAACAGTTTTGCTGTAATTAAAAAATAATTGCAGCCTTTGGAAATATATCAAGTTAATACAAATTATTGATTATACAGGAACGAAGAGCGTCGACTTGTTTCAAAATAACTTTCAAAATAATTAATATATTTATTTTTTAGTTAAGAGGTGATGGTGGTGGTAGTGGTGGTGCAACTGCTGCTGCTGATGATTGTGATAACGATAACGACGGTGATAACGATAAGGATGAGGATGTCGATGTTGATGACGATGACGATGAGAATGACGATGACGATTACGATGACCATTAGGATGAGGATGACGACGAGGACGATTATGATGACAAGCACAAAGACGATGATGATGAGGATGACGATGACGATGAAGATGATGGTCAGGATGACAATGATGATGAAAATGAGATGACTATGAAGATGACGAAGACGACGACAGCGACGCTAAGGACGAGGACAATAACGAGGAATATGACGATAACGATAGTGATGAGAATGACGGTGAGGAGGACAACGGCGATGACGATAACGACGACGACGACGACAACGACGACGACGACGACAACAACAGTAACGACAACAACAACAACAATAACGACACCAACAACGACGATGACAATGACAACATAAACGACGACGAGGATGATGATGATGACGATGGCGATGTTGTGCGATACTCCACCACACAATATAAGTTACATAGTAAAATGTTATTTTAAATTAATATACAGGGTGTCTCTAAAGGGTCTGTACAACGCTCCACCAGCTCAAAATAAGTCGATTTAATTAAACTTGCCCAAGTCCAAAAATTGATAACGGATAACGGGGCTACAACATGTCAAAGTTGAAAAAATAAATAACATTTTCTTTAGTATCTTTTGACTAGCTAATTTCGTAAAATTTCGTATCCAGGGGTTTTTTGGGATGATAATTTCGAATTTATCGACGATCGACTTTGGGCAGGAAAAATATTTTTTTCGCAACTTTTCTACTTACTTCAGAGACACCCTGTAGTATTATACAAAGATATAATATCTATTGATCAGGAATTTTCATTGTCTGTCTATACATTTTAAAGTTTTACAGATATCAATAGAGGATAATTAGACACGTATCTGTTGCGTAAAGTTCCTTCGACAGCAAAAATTGATAACAGTGGTAGAGTCCTATGGTTTTATAAATATTTTATAGATGTTTCTACCACGTGTACTGTAACATGTAATTATCCGCGGCCTAAAGGCTGTTTTAAGAAGGTTCTCACGCTTAGCGCCCAGGAATTAGTCATGTGGTTTCTAGTCCAGTACGAATTTGTTCTCAGATTGTGGGCAATTATTCGATTACTTCGAGATACTGAGGAATGTGAGCCATTCATTAAATTGTACATATAATTTCAATACAAGTTGGTTTTCTAAAATGTAAATGGTATTAAGAATTTTCTACTATCTAGGTATATTACCTATACCTACTGGCATTTTGATAGACTTAAAAAATCTGAAAATTTTAAAGAAAATTGTAATAATAAAACGTCTGAAATACAATATACATACGTATAATAAATAAATAATTTATTTAATAAAAGAATTGCGACTAGGAGATTGACGGTATCAAATTTGCATTTTTGTTTAATATTTTTAAATAACACAGCTCCACAAAAAAAAAGTATCGGATCTGGTATTCAGACCCATGTATTTCCAGGTATTTTTTTCCGCTGAATCCGAATCTGCCTTCAGATTTGGTCCAACGGGTCTGAGTTTTCGGGAAAATTTAAAAAAACTGGTCAAAATTCACAAAAAACGTAATTGACGATCGACGAAAGTTATAAAAAGTCAAATTATTCTGCCAGCTCACTAGACGTATGATTTTTCACTCGTTTAATTCCAATTTATCATCATACAGCCAGACAAGCTGGTCCAGTTTCCCGTATGGGACTCCAGTACCTTGAATTTTATTGTATTTACTTGACATTTTCCATGCATTGTATTATGTCTCAGGAGAAATGAAGCATATTATTATTATTATTATTATTATTATTATTATTATTATTGTTGTTGTTATTATTACCTTCCGGTCCTGCCGGCTAACTAGCAATAAACCTCTTCAGTTTTACTTGGAAGTGTGTATGTCGAAGTCGAGTGAGGTGACATTTAGTGAGAAATTAAATAAGTCAGGTCTTATTTATCAATTAGCAAAGGCTCTTAATTTATGCCTTTTATTATCGGTTGTTTTGTATTTATATTTGGGTAGTTAGAGCAACGATCGTGGGTTTCTCTGCCATGCTCTTTCCCACAGGAACTCTAGGTGAGCCTGGCACTCTCATTTTATGTTAAATGGTTGTTAATGTTTTTGTTGTTCTTTCTATTTGTCACATGTTTAATTTGAAGACTGTTGTGCGTAAATAATAAAGTTAGGTGTATTTACTCTGCTTTTGTTCTATAAAATTAAACCATACTTCCCCTATTTAAAGTTAGTAGCCAGCGCCTTTCGGTCAATTAAAAAATAGATACATACAACGTAGGTATTCCTTATGACGATCACATATTTTTGGCCACAACTACGTTTATATTTTTTTCGATCGAACCCGGGGTTGTTATACTACAATATTCATGACGATAAATAAATACGATCTACGGAAAAAACTTTAAAAAACATTTTTTGATTTTTGTGTTACAAACCTTCAAATTTGTTAAAAATAAAACTACCTAATTTAATTAATAACGTCACAACACTTTTACCGATCTCGTTAAAATTTGGAACATTGATTTGGACTATTATGGCGAATTATTTCTTAAAATCTTAGTCAAATCGATATACTGGGTGATAGTTTTCTCCCGTTACCTCTCCCTTTTAGCGATCAAAACTTTTACAGTGGTCGTTTTTTTTAAATGGGCAGCAACATTGAAAAGGTCGTTTTATTTAAAAAAATGTTATCACTTGAGAAAATCACCTACAGAAAGACATTCTTGAGAAAAATGGCATTATATGCTGGTATGTACATTTCGGTTTACGTAGCAGTGTCACGGATTTAAAACTTTGTATTCAGTAGGCGATGAAAACAAGATGTTGATTGCTGTGGCTATCAAGTAATGTCATTATTGTCGTGTTTCTTTAATTTTCATCACTCCACACATGCAAATTATAAAAATGTTCAACTCCGTTCCTTGTAAAAGAAGATTCGTTGGTACAAAATAAATTTTTGAAGCAAATTATTATCTTCTGCGAAGCCATTCACCAACCAGCGGCAAAATTGTAAACGTGCGTTGAGATCTAAATTTTCAAGTTCTTGAGCAGGAGTTAAATGAAATGGCCGAAGAAGTTGCTTTTTTAAAGTTTTGTGGGCATTAGATACTTTTACATACATGTAATAGTCTTGATGCACTGCCAACACTTTATACTTCTGTGCTTTTGTTATTTGATTTAGGGAGCTGAAACAAATTAAAAACAGAGGGTGATACAATTTTCCATTTACCACCATTATCGTGATACGAAGCAAAAAAATAGTCCGAAAATCTTCGCCACTAAAAAGAAATAGCTGAGCGACTGTTGCAATGCCATGATAAACACCCAATTTTTCAAAATGTCCAAATATCAAAAGCAAAAACACATCTGCCATATTGAAATCATTAAATATTATAATCTTTCAAGGGACTATCTTTAGTATTTTTCTAATGCTTGTTGCATTAACATCACCCTTGACAAAGATCAACACGTAAAAATATGTAGTTATGATAGAAAGATTTTTCTACTTCTACATTTAACTTAAATTGCTTTTGCAAGCGGACTCCTTGCAAATGAAATTAATAGAAAGGACAAAACACAAAACGTTTAGAAAAAAATAAATTTTGAAACGAAATGTCCAATGATAATATGATATAGACTAAAGTGAATTATTTTTTTATCTGACCAATACGCTCTTTTTACCAAATTTATTTACTACACGAATAAAAAAAATTTTAAATTCATATTTACACTGAAAAAAATATTTTCAAATAATTATTTAAACCCCTTTCCGGACTGCTTCTGACCACTGACCTACATCGACTTACCGTACTGTTCGGTCACTAACCTAACTTTAATACCTATTCTTAACGTTTTCACTGTTTTATAATTGGATATGAGTTTTTAGTATTACATGTTCAAGTAGATAATTATACAGTTTGTAGTGTAACTTATTACTTTTCAGACTTGTACTTATTTAAAATGACAAATACGGCTAAAAATTAATAAAGTTGACGTTCGTTGCACTTTGATTTTGAAAGCAATTGAAAAACTGGAGGATACGACGACTAGGAAATCAGCTGTTTCGCTACAACATCCGATTGCTGTGTACTCTACGGGCCTACGCGGCACCTTCCCTATTACGAAGGGGAGCGCCGAATTAACGGGAGTTAAGGGGTAATTTACTTATTTTTTAAAAGGTCGAGAATTTTTTTTTCTATTTTATGCCTCTAATGGGCCTTCAGATTACGTGATTAAAATTAATGACATTGTGACTGAAACATCTGTATATAATAAACTAAATAGTCTATGATTATAAAGCAACGAACATAAATGCAAAATTATACCATAGTTGTGATTTTTTTGATAAAAAAATTACAATGACTTTCATTGCCCGTGTGTTAAATTTGACAGTTGAATTAGAATTTGTAATAATTATAATAAATAAGGTGATATGTCTGGCTGCTGCTGTCTATAATAGTATTTTTTATACAATATTTTTTAAGATACTCCAAAGAAAGGATGTTTTATCAGCCTGTTTATTATTTTAACACATGCACCGAAAAATACTTCCAGATGTGTAAATCACTCTTTTAAAACGCCATGGCAGGTGCGACATCAAATTAATTAGAAAAAGGCTAAATTCTAAAACTACAGCCTGTAAAATTTGTGGTTATTTTCTAAAAAAAATATATAAAATAGCATATACACGATTGTAAAGATTGTGAAAAAACTTGTTGACTGTCTTTCTATTTGACTACAAATAGCAGATTTAGGTAACATTTCAGTAGATAAATAAAGCAAGAGCAACTGTTTTCTCATTTGACATGATAATTACTATAAAATTTCTTTCCACTTTCGTACTATTCTATTTCCACTAGAAATAAAAATATCCGTATTTTAATATAAAATAAAGCTTTTAAATAAACATTCGGCGAATTTGAAAATATGTTTCGTGATTCGCCGCTTCAATTTACGGAACGATTCAGTTTAATTGTTTCAAATTTAAAAATTGGTACCACGGTTCTTCACATTTAGTTGCTTCATCTTTACATTTTTGATGATAATAACACATTTTTGGGTCTAAAATTTCCATTGTTACTCCTATTGTTCATTATTTTTGTTTGTAGTACATTAATCTTTCACTCTAATTCTAGATTTTTATTTGTAAATGAGTCAAATGCCTCTTTGAATTTACTTGAGAGCTCGTTTATATCATTTAAAACTTGTAAAGTTAATGTATTATCTACCCTTGAATTACCAATATTATTTTCTTGTTTACTGTTTATAATGTTTGAATTAATAACTGATATGTTAGTATCTTTGTATGTTTCCCTAATTTCTTATGTTATATCTAAAACTTCATTGACTTTAACTTGTCCTGATACTGTTATAGCTACTGAAATAGTTTTTGCTAATCGTCTTTTCCACAATTTTAATAGTTATTCTTGACTGACTATATTATTCTTGACTAAAGCTGATCCCCT